CGTGACACTATCATCGACCAAGTCGGAGTATGTGGCGGCCACTGAAGACGGCAAGGAGGGATGCCGCCTTCGCTTCCTCCTCACAGAGTTCTGGCTGCTGGATGCCGAGAAGATAGCCGTCCTTCAGATGGACAACAAGTCCGTCATCACAGTCGCCGAGGGCTTGGGGCTGCAGGGCAACCTCAAGCTCATGGAGAAGCGCTACGCATGGCTGCAGTACAGGTTGAAGCCGGCCACCGAGTAGACGGCTGAAGTTTTCACTGAAGTACATCCCAACCACCGAGTAGCCGGCCGACTTCTTGATGAAGGCACATCCAGCGATCGATCAGGTGCGTTTGGCCAACGTCGGCGACGATGACGACGACGTGTAGCAGTAGGTGCCATGCCCTCTCGCATGGCTGGTGCGGTGATCGGCGTGCTGTGTATTGTCTGCACGCCAATGACGATGAGCTATTCTCCAAGTGGTACTGCCGTGTGGGCAGAGGGCCCAAACGTGAAAACGGCAAGGGAGTGTCAACGGGAGTTGTGTGTTGGCCCCGTCCTCGCTTGGGTGGAGCCGACTTCGTACTCGGATGTGCGGGGAGCACAACAGACCAGCTGTAATGGGCGACGCCGACTTAGGCGTGCAGGTCGACGGGCTTGGTCGACCTGCATGGGCCCACTGCGACGCCGCTGACTTCGGGACGCCGGTAGCCGACTTCGACCCGGTGGTCGACAAGGGGACCGGCGCCGACGTTGACCTAAGGGTGGCACCGACTTGGAGGGCACCGGGTTTGGGTGGCCTTGGCGAGGTCGACCTGGGAGGACGCCGACTTCAGGGCGTCGACTTCATGGTGCTGACCTGGGGAAGCCGACTTGGTGAAGTTGGCTGATGGTTGTCGACCAGGTTACTCGGGCGACGGGGTTCAGTAGAGGAGCGCGACAGTCGCCCCGGTGGTTGTGGCAAAGCCGACCTCGGTGGATGATATCCCGTGGTCGACGTCATCAGCACGGGGACGATTTGGTGTATGTGCTGTGCAGGTGACAAGGCACAGCACGCCAATCATCTGCGAGCACCTGCGAAGCGGGTGCGCTGCTGTCTTGCGGGTGCAACGCTGTGCAGCCGCCTTGCTGCAGCGTTGGCAGGCCACTAGTTTGTACTGCTGCAGTGCGGTCGACCATGCAGCGCTAGAACGGGCTCGACCGTGCTGCACTGGCAGTCGACCTGTTTGCATGCTAGCTATGGTGTAGTCAACCTTGCCAATGTTCTTGCTACCATTCTTGTAAACTTTTGCTAGTGAAGCAGTTGCCAACTTTCCCCGTGAATGCGCAAGTAGAGAGAGAGCACAAGTGAACGACTAAGAAACGACCGCTACGATCACTCCTACCCCGTGCCTACCTTGTAGACTACCTCCCGTTGTACGAGTTATCTCCGCATGTTGACCAAGAGTACTTGGTTTTAATTTATAGGCTAATTTTTTATTTAAATCTTGAAATTGTCAAGGAACAAAAATAATTACCCTATGAATCAGGGTTGGGACCACCTAGAACCCTGATTAGGCATGCTGGCCCAAAACTAATCAAGAGCCCTACGTGGCAACGATGTGTGGTGCTGTTGATGTTTTATTCAACACAAAGTGTTGTGATTGCGCAAACAACCAATCACATACGATAAACCTTCTGTCGACAACGACAGTGCAAACGACGTGCAGGAAAGATATCAATTCCCAGTGCGTTGGTGCGGTAGTGTACACCTAGTTCGCGCCTACTTCACTAGGGCAAATTCCCCCCCCCGTGAAGTGGGTCAGTGAGGTTGGGGTGCTGGACAGGGGCAATGTGACGGTGGATGTGGCGAACCTAGACATCCCAGATTCTAGGCACCTACACGAATCCCCACTAGTGGGATTTCAGCCCACACCCCCGATACAGCCCTGATTATTCAGAGTACACCTCTAAAAAAACGCTGAAATATCAGCCCATACAAGGAAAGTAAAAACTAGAAAATCATCCCACACACTAAAAAGAAGTTGACACATCAGCTCTACTTTCTCCACAGCTCTGAAAAACCAGCCTTTTTTCGCTTACTTATGAGGCCGCGGTTGTGAGTGGTAAAGAGTTTCCAGCAGCATTTCGAACGAACATGTTTCTATGGCTTGGTGCTCACCAAAAGCATCCCCCCAACTTCAGTATTATCTGTAGTATTCAAAACACCTCTGAAAAAATATGCCTTATGAAAACACCCGAGTGTTATGATCTTTGTCATGTGTTAAAGCTGTGGTCTACATACCTCAAGCGTGAGACAAAGGTTTATCACTTGAAAACAGGGTAACCCTGTCCCAACAAGTACCTGTTTGCGGAGAAATGAAAGTCGGGGCGGAAGGAAGTTAGGGGGTGGGGGGTGAGCAAACCCAACAGCCGAAACGCATTCGCCAGTTTAGAACTTGACCCGTAAGTCAGTTTGTAGACCAAAAGTCTCCCCACGAGGTTGACAATGCACACTCAATAGACGCCTAGTGATTCCAGAGACTAAAGTCGGGGGGATGGAGGGAAGGGCAGTGGGGGATGGGCAGGGCAGGGTGGGATGGGCAGTAGGTGAAGAGCAGGGTAAGGAGAGGGCAATGCCGGAAAGGGAGAGTCGGAGAGGGTAGGGCGGTGGGTTTAAGGGCACTAAAGGGGACGGGGGATAGAGGCTGACTCACCTTACGAATGTGTGGCGATTCTATGGGCAACCATGGTGTGGTTGACTTGGCGGGCGTGGCGTCTTGCGTGAGGGAGTTGCGAAGGAAGGGACCTGATATGCTAAAACGAGGGGATGAAGAGGGGGACATTAGAGGAGGCAGAGGCAGAAATGAGGGGAGGAAGGAGAGAGTCATGGGAGGGAGTGGAGAGAGAAATGGGGGATTAGAGGCGGAAACCAGGGGGGGCAGAGGGGGCAATGGGGGGAGCAGAGTGGGAAATGAGGGGAAGCATAAGGATTTATGAGGCGTCAAATGAGTCCGACTTGGGCCTAAGTTGAAGGGGAAACTAGGAATGGTGTGGGAAAACTGAGGGGAATTAGGGGGGGGGGGAGGAATGGGGTTACAAAGGGGGGCCACGAGGGGATGCTTGAGATTCTGCGTGGGCAAGACAGGTCAAACATGAGGGCTAGCGAGGGTGGAAGGGGGAAAGGGGTTGAGGTAGAGCACGGGGGGGTTATGGGCGCATTCATGGAAGCCCCTGAGGAGAGGGATGCGTTTGCCCGGAGGGATGGGCGGGTGAGGTGAGAAGAGGGTGATGCGTGCAGTCGGCGAGGGGAGAAGCGGGGGTCAGAGGAAGGGAGTCGAGTAGGCGAGCAGCTGAGTATCTTCACAACAGGATGCAAGACGTCGAGGAGGCGAGAAACGGGTGAGGCGAGAAGCGGGTGAGGCGAGAAGCGGGTGAGGCGAGAAGCGGGTGAGGCGAGACGCGGGTGAGGCGAGAAGCGGGTGAGGCGAGACACGGGTGAGGCGAGAAGCGGGTGAGGTGAGAAGCGGGTGAGGCGAGACGCGGGTGAGGCGAGAAGCGGGTGAGGCGTGACACGGGTGATGCGCGACGCGGCTGAGGCGCGAAGCAGGTGAGGCTACCAACGTTCGCCGCGGGAGGCGGGTGAGGCCTTCAGCGGCGCGTGAAGCGAGGGGCGGCGCAGGAGGCAAGGAGCGGCGAGTGAGGCGTGAAGCTGCGAGCTCGGCGTGAAGCGGCGCGTGAGGCTTGAAGCGTTGCGTGACGCGCTCGCGGCGGATGAGGCGTGAAGCGGCGCGTGAGGCGCATCGGGAATTTTGGGGGTCCCGCAATTGGTTGGGAAACCACTAGCTGGCGATTGGGTTTCAGCTCCAGGCATTTGCCTGGTTTTGGCGATTGGTTTTCTATGCTAGTGGCATCTAGCCTACGGGTTGTTTTCATTTGGGCGAATGACTGGCTGCCAAGCCTACACAACTGTGTCAGAGTTATATGACTTAGCCTGTGTAGGCTATAGTGGGGTAGCACATATGGGGTACGACACATTTCTAGGGTTTCCTACTTGTACCCACCTTTTGCCTAGTGAAATCATTCCTCATTTCTTCACATGGTATAGAGCAGGTTCCCTAGTGGGAACGCTTCCTAAGGGCCCACCACGATCGATTTTTTTTCCTGCCCGGAGCGCGCTTCGCTCCTGCCCGAGTCGAGCCCCGTGTGCCCTCCCTCCCGTCGCGTCCCTAGCCCTTAGCAGCCCGTCGCGCCCTCTTAAGGCCCCTCGCGGCCCCTCTCACGGCCCCTCGCGGCCCCTTCGCGCCGCCCTTAGCGGCCCCTCTCACGGCCCTTCGCGGCCCCTTACGGCCCCTCGCGGCCCCTTACGGCCCCTCGTGCCGCCCTTCGCGGCTCCTTACGGCCCCTCGCGCCGCCCTTCGCGGCCCCTCGCGGCCCCTTCGAGGCCCGTCGCCGCCCTTCACGGCCCCGCCGCCGCCCTTCGCGGCCCCTCGCGGCCCCTCCACAGCCCCGTCGCTGCCCTCCACGGCCGTGTCGCCGCCCTTCACGACCCCGTCGCCGCCCTTCGTGACCCCTCACAGCCCCGTCTCGGCCCCGTCGCCGCCCTTCACGGCCCAGTAGCCGGCCTTCGCGGCCCACCGTCGCCGCCCCTGCAGCAGTAGCTCCCGCCCCCCCTGCAGCGGAAGCCGCCACCGCCGGTGCCGCCGTCAGCAGTCGCCACCGCAGTCACTCCCGGGGCCGCAGCCGCCGCAGCCCCCACCAGCAGCAGCCGCCGCCACCTCAGCTAGGGCTGCAGCCGCCGCAGCCGCTGACTGAAGCCGCCGGTGCGCCTCAGCCCATCCCTGCCGGCGCGCCTTGGCCCGCCCCTACCGGCGTGCCTCGGCCCTGCCTGCGCGCCTCGGCCCTGCCTGCGCGCCTCGGCCCGTCCCTGCCGGTGCGCCTCGGCCCTGCCCCACCACTTGCGGCCCTCTGCCCTGGTAAGAGCATCGCCGCACTGCGCCCCTACTGCTGCCACTGCTGCTTCTGCTGCCACTACTCTCATGGCTACCTCTAGCGTCCTCGTCTTTGATGCTGCGGGTCGGGCTGTTGACTTTGAGGTCTGGGTCAATGATCTGCAGCTTTTCCTACAGTGCGATAGGAAAGACGGTCTCTCACTGTTCGATCTCACGTCTGACGCCTCTCCTGCCCCTGCTGCCGATGCTGACAGCACTGTTCGCTCACAGTGGGCCACACGCGATGCTGCTGCCCGTCTTGCTATGCGTAGTCACTTGCCGTCCACTGAGCGCGCGCACTTTAGTCAGTACAAGAGTGCTAAGACCTTGTACGACGCAGTCATTGCACGCTACTCTTCCCCTGCCACTGCTGCCCTTAGCCGCCTCATGCTGCCGTACCTGTTCCTTGACCTAGCTGCCTTTCCCACAGTCGCTGACCTCATTACGCACCTTCACACTAGTGACACCCGGTACCGCGCTGCGCTTCCTGCTGAGTTCTGCGCCAAGAACCCCCCCCCCATGTACATCACCCTCTACTACATAGTCACCCGACTCCCTGACTCCCTTCGTCCAGTCAGGGACCACTTCCTCTCTGTTTGCCCCACCACACTCACTGTTGACCTCCTCGAGGAGCGCCTCCTAGCAGCTGAGAAGAGTATAGTCGCTGTAGGAGCCTCTCGTGGTGACCCTCGTGCCCCCTTCTTTGAGGGGTACTCCCCCTCCCCCCTTTTGCCCTCTGTTGCCTCTGCTGCTGCCGTCGACTTCGTTGGCACCGAGTCGGTCGGCGCTGCGTATGCCCCTAGCGGGAGACGCCGCACCGGCAAGGGAAAGGGGGGCAAGGGCACTACAGGGCCTGGCGGGGGTGGTGGAGGTGGCGGTGGAGGCGGCGGAGGGAGTGGGGGTGGCGGTGGGAGTGGTGGCGGGGGTGGGGGCTTCGGTGGCGGCGGTGGAGGCGGAGGCGGCGGCGGCGGTGGCGGTGGGAGCGGGGGAGGAGGCGGTGGCGGCGGTGGCGGAGGTGGTGGCGGCGGCGGTAGAGCTGGTCGGGGTGGCTCTGCGCAGCGGGGCAGCTTCGGTGGTGGTCAGCGCCAGCAGCAGCAGCAGCGCACTCGTGAGACCCCGCCCCCCTAGCAGCTTCGTGAGTGGTACGCTGCGCGTCAGCGGGGTGGGGGTGCTGGTCCTTGTGCCTCCGTCCTGCGTACCGGCGACCGCACTGGTGAGCCGTGCGGTGGGCCGCACACCACCCAGCGCTGCTTCGGCCGCCTGACGGACACTTGGCGTCTCCAGTTCCCTGACGCCACAGAGATCCCCCGCTGGGGCGAGCTGCTTAGGTCGGGGGTTGCTATCTTTGATCTGGATTATGATGCTATTCTTGCTGCCATGTATGTTGTGTCTACTAGTGATGAGGGTGACTGTTACCTGTGTGTTCCGCCTGACCCGGGCATTGAGGCTGCTGCTCTAGGTGCTGGTGAGGTTGCTGCTCTAGGTACTAGTGAGTCTACTGCCCCAAGTACTGGTGAGTCTGCTCTCTCAAGTACCACGTCGGCTCAGGCCGTACACACCGTCACCCTTGACTCGGGTGCTTCCCGCTCCTTCTTCCGCGACCGCACCACACTTACGCCGCTTAGTCGGCCAATTGCCGATCTCCCTGGCAGACCCCTCTGGGGGTCCTGTCCTTGCCCACTTCTCCACTGTCTTACCATGTCCGGCTGCCCTCTCTGGCACCCTGTCAGGTCTCTACCTCCCCTCGTTCCCCACGAACTTAGTGAGTGGAGCTGATCTACAAGATGGGGGGGTTGACCAGTTCACTCCTGCGAGTCAGCGAGTGACCCACTGTACGTGTGCTCGGACGGGCCGCCACTTGGACACGTTTACCCGTCAGCCGGGGTCGAGCCTGTACACACTGACTAGTGAGCCTTCTCCGGTTGCTGAGTCTGGTCAGGTAGCTGCGTCGGGTCAGGTGTTTGCTGCAGCGTCCAGGTCTGGTCCTGAGTCTGCTCCCTGCTCGTGTCGTCTCCTGTCCCACCAGACTCTCCTCTGGCACCACCGCCTTGGTCACCCCTCCTTGCCTCGTCTCCAAGGCATGGCCTCCCGTTACCATGTCTCTGGTCTCCCCCGCTCCCTCCCTCCTCTTCCTCCGGGGCCTGCCCCTACCTGCGTTCCCTGCGTCGAGGGTCGGCAGCACGCTGCCCCTCACTCCTCTTAGTTTCCTCCGACAGAGGCTCCTCTACAGACTCTCCATATGGACGTGTGAGGCCCCGTCCGCGTCCGTGGCCAGGGTCACAAGCGTTACTTCCTCTTGGTGGTTGACGACTACTCGCGTTACACCACGGTGATCCCCTTGCGCAGCAAGGGTGACGTCACTGGGGTGTTGATCGACTGGATCCGCGCAGCTCGTCTCCAGCTCAGGGAGAGTTTCGGCTCGGACTTTCCTGTTCTGCGTCTGCACTCTGACAGAGGCGGGGAGTTTTCCTCTACTCTTCTCGGAGCCTTCTGTCGTGCACAGGGCATCCACAAAACGTTAACGCTTCCGGCCTCTCCACAGCAAAATGGGATTGCTGAGCGCCGCATTGGCATGGTAATGGACGTCGCTCGTACGTCCATGATCCATGCGGCTGCTCCCCATTTTCTGTGGCCATTTGCGGTTCGGTACGCGGCACATCAGATCAACCTTCAGCCCCGGGTCTCCTTGCCAGAGACCTCCCCCACCTTGCGGTGGACGGGGAAGGTTGGCGATGCGTCTCCATTCCGTGTCTGGGGATCTCGGGCGTTTGTCCGCGACTTGTCTGCGGACAAGCTGTCCCCCAGTGCTGTTCCCTGCGTCTTCCTTGGCTTCCCCCCTGATGCGCGTGGTTGGCAGTTTTACCACCCCACCTCGCGCCGTGTTCTGTCCTCCCAGGACGTCACCTTTGACGAGTCGGTTCCTTACTACCGTCTCTTCCCCTACCGCACTGCGCCCCTTCCCATGCCGCCCCTCTTCCTCGCGCCAGGTCCCCCCCCCGGTAGACCCTCTCCCCCCTCAGGGTCCTGCCCCGTCAGGTGTGTCCCAGGTAGACGCAATAGAGCCTGTCGAGATAGCTGTTGACTCTGGTGCTGCTAGGGGTGCTAAGCATGCGGGTGCGGGGTCTCAGGGTGCTGAGTCCGGGGGTGCTGAGCCTGAGGGTGCAGCGCGTGGGGGGTGCTGAGCCTGGGGGTGCGGAGCCTGGGGGTGCTGGGTCAAGGGGTCCTTCGGGTACTCCGTCTCGGCGGGAGCTACCCTCTCCACAGGAGCTGCACGAGTGGTTTGCCAGGCACTGTAGTCGTGCTGCTGGAGCTGGAGGTGCTCGTACTGGCGGTACTGGAGCTGCTGGGACTGGGGGTGCTGCTGGGGCTACTGGAGTTGGTCCTGCTGGAGGTTCTGCTAGTGCTGTTGGGGGTACTGGAGCTGCTGGTGCTGCTAGGGGTACTAGAGCTGCTGGGGGTGCTGGTGCTGGAGGTATTGCTGGCGCTGGTGCTTCTGCTGGTGCTGGAGTAAGCGCTGCTGGAGCTAGAGGTGCTGCTGGCGCTGGTGCTGCCACTGGGGGTACTGGTGCTGTCCCTGCTGTTTTAGGAGGCGTTGCGCGGCCGCGGCCGTACTTAGTTCCGCTCCTTGAGCAGGTTCTTGGTCTCCCGCCTTCTACTGGTCCTCCTCCCTTAGAGTGTCCACAGCCTGTCCAGTCGCGGTCACAGTTAGAGCCTGCCTCCCCACTGCTGCTCCTTCTCCCTACACTGGCCCTACTAGAGGTCTTGCTGAGCGTCGTGCGCCTGCGTCTCGTCCTGTGTCGCCTGTTCGTGCTGTTCACGCTAGTCGTCGTGTTTCGCGTCAGCGTCCTCCTGCGGTCCCGGGCACGCATCAGATGGCACTGCGACCTTCCACTACTCCGCAACGCGTCCCTTTGCCGTCTCCTCCAGAGTCCTCTCTTCCTGCTCTTGCTGACCCGGAGTCTGACTCCCTTCGTGCTGCCAGTCCTACTATCACGCGTCTCCTGGCTACTGTTGTCAGTGACCCTTCCTTTGAGTCCACTGCTGCGTTTGCCTCAGTTGCTGAGCTGGTAGACTTCGCTGCTCACTGCCGTCTAGACTACGCTGCTAGTCTTGTTGCTGAGTCTGAGTCTGTCTGTCCTCCGTCTGTCGGGGGTGAGTGTGCTCTTAGCGCGGACATCCTTGAGGACAGGCAGGAGGAGTTCCAGTGCTTTGCTACTGCTTTGCCTCACCTCGTGTCCATGCTGATTGCCCCTGAGGGAGACCCGGATGCACCAGACATCCCTACTCCTCACAGTGGCAGTCAGCCATGGACGCAGAGATGGCTTCCTGGAAGTCCACAGGCACCTACGTCGACGAGGTTCCCCCACCTGGGGCGAACATCGTCAGTGGTATGTGGATTTTGAGGGTGAAGCGGCCGCCGGGTTCTCCGCCTGTCTTCAAGGCGCGTTATGTGGCTCGAGGCTTCAGTCAGTGGCAGGGAGTTGACTACTTTCAGACCTTCTCTCCCACCCTGAAGATGACCACTCTTCGGGTACTGCTGCACATAGCCGCTCAGCGCGACTACGAGCTTCACTCTCTTGACTTCAGCACAGCTTTCTTGCAGGGCAGCCTGCACGAGGAGATCTGGGTGCGTCGCCCACCTGGCTTCACTGGGTCGTATCCTTCTGGTACCCTGTGGAGCCTCGGCGACCAGTCTACGGTCTCCGCCAGGCGCCCCGTGAGTGGCACGACACACTGAGGACTACACTTGCGGCTCTTGGGTTTGCTCCTTCTACTGCCGACCCGTCGCTGTTTTTGCGCAACGACACCTCTCTGCCGCCGTTCTACATCCTCATGTACGTCGACAACTTCGTCTTTGCCACTGTTGACACTGCAAGACTCGCCCACGTGAAGTCTGAGCTGCAGAAGAGACACACGTGCACAGACCTAGGTGAACTGCGCAGCTACCTTGGCTTGCAGATCACCCGGGACAGAGCACAGCGCACCATTGCCCTGACTCAGTCTCACATGGTGCAGCAGGTCCTTCAGCGCTTCGACTTCACGTACTCGTTGCCTCAGGCCACTCCTCTGTCTACTCGCCACTCGCTCTCAGCTCTGCCTTCGGATGAGTCCGTAGAGCCGAGTGGCCCATACCCAGAACTAGTTGGCTGCCTCATGTACCTGATGACCTACACACGACCTGACCTAGCATACCCTCTTAGCATCTTGGCACGCTATGTTGCTCCTAGGAGACACCGACCAGAGCACATGGCTGCAGCGAAGAGGGTGTTGCATTACTTGTGCAGTACGTCGGGCATGGGGCTAGTGCTTGGAGGGCGGCGTTCTGTGGTCCTCACTGGTCACGCAGACGCTTCTTGGGCTGACGACCAGGCTACGCAGCGGTTGTCATAGGGTTACACCTTCAGCCTTGGTTCCAGCTCTGTTTCGTGGCGCTCTACCCGCTCGTCTTCTGTTCTCGACTCCAGCTGTGAGGCTGAGATCTACACGGGGGCCATGGCTGCACAGGAGCTACGCTGGCTCACCTACCTGGTGACTGACCTAGGAGAGCCGCCTCGTTCTCCTCCAGTTCTGTACGTAGACAACAAGGCTATGCTGGCCTTGTGTCGGGAGCACAGGCTGGAGCACAGAACAAAGTACATTGCTCTTCGTTACTTCCTTGCTCGTGAGCTGCAGCAGCGTGGTCAGTTGTGCCTTGCTTACGTGGCCTCTGAGGCCAACACTGCTGATGTCTTCACCAAGGCACTTCCGCCTTGTGATCATCAGCAGTGCTGTACGATGCTAGGTCTTGTGCCTTCTTGGCCTCACTTGCTCACTTCTTGACCTTGCTTGTCCTGTGATCTATCTATACCTACACTTGCTTGTTTACCTTTATATATGATCTTGCATGTGAATTGGCCTTGTGGCCTTGAACTTGTGCTCGGAATGTGTGGTGACATTGGGATCCACCCTGAGCTTGCTTTGCTTTGCTTGACTGGTCTTGTGACCCCTTGTTCTCCCCCACTTTGCCTATGGGGGTGTGTCAGAGTTATATGACTTAGCCTGTATAGGCTGTATTGGGGTAGCACATATGGGGTACAACACATTTCTAGGGTTTCCTACTTGTACCCACCTTTTGCCTAGTGAATTCATTCCTCGTTTCTTCACAAACTGCTCAGGTGGTTTTGCACGATACAGTTGCGGACATTTGGGTTGTGTTCATTGGGCGCAGCGTTTCTATCGATTCGATGTCACGTCAGCAAAACAGTCTCGATAAAATGTCAGTTGGGGAAATTGTTTTAGTGAGTACAGTAATCTTGAGATATAGTGGAAGTCCACGAAATGAGAAAAAATACACTGTGCTTTTAGCGGAAATGACGATACACATTTTATATTGATAAAAGATGGTAGGGCCGCGTGTAGCAATATAAATTGCAATTATGTATACATAGTAAGGCGAATAAAATATATTTACGTTCCAATTACAAAATGGTCTGTTATAAGCTATTAATTTATTACTGTATACCCATTCTATTTCAACAGAAAACTTATAATATAAAAAATATCTAAAATACTTTCCCTTGATTAAATTACGCCTACACTAAATCCGAAACGATACATCTAGAACAGCTCCTTCTGCACCTCGTTTGCGTTGTGGAGCTTGCGATAAGCAGCCATGGAGGTGAAGTCATCTCGGGTCAAATCCCCAAGCTCATCTGCTTCCAGCTCAGCTTCAGGGATCTCCTTCCATCCAACGATGCAGATGTTGCGAATGCCGACACAGTTGCCATCCCGTTCAATGGGCCCCTCGTTGATCCACCTCTGCAGCACCCGTGCCTGCCTGGAGAAGGCTGACGGGTCCCCTGATCGCTTAAACTGGCCCTTGCCATGGGGATAACGAAGCTTGAAACGCACCTGAAACGAGTGAAACAAAAACCACAGTAAGCAAAACTTTAAACACAAAAAAACAAATTTCACCGTACTTGACTTACCGCAGCAAGGATACCTAGCAACTGATTAGGAAACAACGCAATGGAAAGGGTGTCGTCGAATTCCGGATCCCAAAGGGACGCACACTTAAAAAACGCTCGGCTAGAAAAGGGTGATCGCTCCCTCAAATGCAAATAAATTCCCATCATCACTGCCAGAACTGAAAGCATCAGCTAAAAGCAAGGGTCAACCGAATACTCCCAAAACCGGATTTCAGAATCAAAGAAACACTTACTGTTGGATTGGTTCTTCACGAAGTCCGCGCACACCTTCACGAAGTCATCGATCTCGAAGAAAGTGAGCTCGCCCTTCAGGGTTCGCTTCTCCCTCATGAAGACACACGGATCTCGGTGTCAAACTTATATGCTATAGTCTGTGTAGGCTGTAGTGGGGTGGCTCATATGGGGTACAACAATTTAGGGTTTCCTACTTGTACTCCTCATGCTGCTCAATGCAATCATTCCTAATTTCTTAACATGGTATCAGAGCACGTTCCCTAGTGGGAACGTTTCCTAGGGCCCACAACTGAAAATCGATTTTTTTTTCCTGCCCGGAGCGCGCTTCCCTCCTGCCCGAGTCGCGCCCCGTGTGCCCTCCCTCCCGTCGCGTCCCTAGCCCTTAGCGGCCCGTCGCGCCCTCCTCAGGCCCCTCGCGGCCCCTTTCGCGGCCCCTCACTGACCCTTCTTTTGAGTCCACTGCTGCGTCTGCCTTAGTTGCTGAGCTTGTCGACTTTGCTGCTCGTTGTCGTCTAGACTACGCTGCTAGTCTTGTTGCTGAGTCTGAGTCTGTTTGTCCTCCGTCCATCGGGGGTGAGTGTGCTCTTAGCACGGACGTCCTTGAGGACAAGCAGGAGGAGTTCCAGTGTTTTGCTGCTGCTTTGCCTCATCTCGTGTCCACGCCGATTGCCCCTGAGGGAGACCCGGATGCACCAGACATCCCGACTCCTCGATCGTACGCTGAGGCGATCGAGGGTCCCTACTCCTCACAGTGGCAGTCAGCCATGGACGCAGAGATGGCTTCCTGGAAGTCCACAGGCACCTACGTCGACGAGGTTCCCCCACCTGGGGCGAACATCGTCAGTGGCATGTGGATTTTCAGGGTGAAGCCGGCGCCGGGTTCTCCGCCTGTCTTCAAGGCGCGTTATGTGGCTCGAGGCTTCAGTCAGCTGCAGGGAGTTGACTACTTTCATACCTTCTCTCCCACCCCGAAGATGACTGCTCTTCGGGTGCTGCTGCACATAGCCGCTCAGCGCGACTATGAGCTTCACTCTCTTGACTTTAGCACAGCTTTCCTGCAGGGCAGCCTGCACGAGGAGATCTGGCTGCGCCGCCCACCTGGCTTCACTGGGTCGTTTCCTCCTGGTACCCAGTGGAACCTCCGGCGGCTAGTCTACGGTCTCCGCCAGGCGCCCCGTGAGTGGCACGACACACTGAGGACTACACTTGCGGCTCTTGGGTTTGCTCCATCTTCTGCCGACCCATCGCTGTTTCTGCGCACCGACACCTCCTTGCCGCCGTTCTACATCCTCGTGTACGTCGACGACTTGGTCTTTGCCACTGCTGACACTGCTGGACTCGCCCACGTGAAGTCCGAGCTGCAGAAGAGACACACGTGCACAGACCTGGGTGAACTGCGCAGCTACTTTGGCTTGCAGATCACCTGGGACAGAGCACAGCGCACCATTTCCCTGAGTCAGTCACACATGGTGCAGCAGGTCCTTCAGCGCTTCGACTTCACGTACTCCTCGCCTCGGGCCACTCCTCTGTCTACTCGCCACTCGCTCTCAGCTCTGCCTTCGGATGAGTCCGTAGAGCTGAGTGGCCCGTACCCAGAGCTTGTTGGCTGCCTCATGTACCTGATGACCTACACACGACCCGACCTAGCATACCCTCTTAGCATCTTGGCACACTATGTTGCTCCTGGGAGACACCGACCAGAGCACATGGGTGCAGCGAAGAGGGTGTTGCGCTACTTGTGCAGTACGTCGGGCATGGGGCTAGTGCTTGGAGGGCGACGTCGAGTGGTCCTCACAGGTCACGCAGGCGCTTTTTGGGCTGACGACCAGGCTACCCAGCGGTCGTCACAGGGTTACACCTTCAGCCCTGGCTCCGGCTCTGTTTCGTGGTGGTCTACCCGCTCGTCTTTTGTTCTCGGCTCCAGCTGTGAGGCTGAGATCTACGCGGGGGCCATGGCTGCACAGGAGCTATGCTGGCTCACCTACCTATTGACTGACCTAGGAGAGCCGCCTCGTCCTCCTCCAGTGTTGTACGTAGACAACAAGGCCATGCTGGCCTTGTGTCGGGAGCACAAACTGGAGCATAGAACGAAGCACATTGCTCTTCGCTACTTCCTTGCTCGTGAGCTGCAGCAGCGTGGTCAGCTGCGCCTTGCTTAGGTGCCCTCTGAGGCCAACACTACCGATATCTTTACCAAGGCACTTCCGCCTTGTGATCATCAGCGCTTTTGTACGATGCTAGGTCTTGTGCCTACTTGGCCTCACTTGCTCACTTCTTGACTTTGCTTGTACTGTGATCTATATATACCTGCACTTGCATGCTTACCCTTGCTAGGTTGAGATCACTGCCTTGTTTGTTCATCTTGATATATAACTCTGCATGTGAACTGGCCTTGTGGCCTTGTGCTTGTGCTCAGATTGTGTGGTGGCGTTGTGATCCACCCTGAGCTTGCCTTGCTTCTCTTGACTGGTCTTGTGACCTCTTGTTCTCCCCCACTTTGCCTATGGGGGTGTGTCAAACTTATATGCTATAGTCTGTGTAGGTTGTAGTGGGGTAGCTCATATGGGGTACAACACTTTAGGGTTTCCTACTTGTACTCCTCATGCTGCTCAATGCAATCATTCCTCATTTCAGGTCGTTAACGCGGCAGAGGCGGTAGATTTTCCCTATGCGATCGTTAAAACGTTCCATAGTATCCTTCAGCTTGCCCTGGGACTTGGCAATCGCTGCCACCTGCATCCCTTCGGCCGATTTGGGGGTGTAGCCTGCATGCCCTGCACACGACGTAAACTGTGATGATTAGTACACTACTAAACATGAAGGAAAAAATGACAACGCTTAAAAAACTTACTGATCAATGCATTTAGCATGTCATCAGAATTGGGATTGAGGTTGAGAAACGCTTTCTTGAACAGGAATTCATCACAGGCGTCCTTCGTGTACTTCTGCAAGACGATGACAGAGAGTCAGGACGAATGTAACTGGGTTACGATCGGCAATGAAATGCAAACCTGTACCTTCCAGTCGAGAGTCGACTGGTCCACTTGCGTTGTCTTCTTAGCAAGGTGCGTTATAAGCACCAGCGCGCTTTTCAGGTGTTTGGCGAGGCGACCATTCTCTTTTTGATAAACTCCGGCGATCGCCTTCTGAGCTTCTGCCTTAGTTCGAAGCTCCTCATTCACATCAGGTTCGGCGCGCGCTTCCTCGTCGAAGCGAGCAGCACATACGCACGCCCCGTCGCTCTGGTCATAAGCAACTCCATTGGGCTGTGGTTGGGGTTTCCTGTTGTGGGGGAAAATTTTAGATATGTTTGGTCCGTTGGCCGGTGCGATGGCGGCCTTGCGCTTGCTCGTCGGACGATTCATCGTGGCTTTCATCTGCGAGAAACAATGAACGGTGGTTAGTCGTGTTCGACTTCATTCGTGCAAGCAAAAAAAAATAAAAAAACGCAAAACAAAACCAGCGTGCAAATACCTGCGGTAGCAGCGCCACCAATGTATTTATGATTGTCCTTGCTCTTCCGTGCCGGGAGCTTTCTAGTCTGCAGGGAGCGCAAAGATTCAGGGACAAGTTCTCGTGCATTACCGCGTGCCATGACTAAACGGGTTATTAAACAAA